TTGCTGTTATTCACTGTGGTGAATGGGGAGGGTCCTCCAAGGGCCCTGATTCGGAGGCTGAAAAATTCCTTCTATTCTGCTGACGTGTCTCATAGTCCACGGGAACGATGTCAAACCAGGATGGGGCTGTTGTGGAGGTTGCCCTCTGCCTCTGCCACACTGAGCAGAACAGGAACTGTAGAGAACAGCCTGTGATCTTTCTATTCTATAGGAATGGTGGCCTTGGCTCCAAGCCCCCAAATTTACATCTCTTGTGTTTAGCGCTGAAAATACTTTAATTCCAAACAAGCAGCTTACCAGAAGAACGTGACAATCTTGAATTCAAACTTTTCACAAGAATGAGACCCAACTCCTTACAGTCTTCCTAGGGACTCCTTCTTTTGATGTCTGCAAATTTACTGGGATTGTGTGACAAAATGGCATTTTCTCTCATTTAAAAAAAGAACCCTGTACCTACTGTGTTGAGCCAAAGTAAATGGACCACAGCTCATGGCCTGACTGGATAATCTGAGAATGAAACAATGCTCCTTGGAGAATCAGAGGAGCCAGGCTGGAACCCTCTGCCATATTTTGAATTAAATGCACAGGAATCCTACTTTGTCTGCCTAGGTCAAGCTGAAAGAGCTTTCACACCTTCTCAGCCTTCCCAAGGATTTAAATTCCCTTCCCTTTATCTAGAGCAAGAGAAAAAAATTTAAAATTTTAAAACTACCATGAGCAAACAGGAAACAATTACAAGAGCTCCATCAAAATACATGATTTCATACTTTTAAAAATTCTTTGGGTTAAATACTTAAAAAATGGTAAATTAACTAAAGTGTTGAAATTGTGTTTTTGAGCTGCAGAGCAAAACTAACCCCTTTTGAAATGTCAACTTTTCAAAACTAATTTTTATGCTTTTTTTTTGACCATTGCACTTTTCCCCAGCAGCAGCCCTCTGTTAGCAGCTTTGTGTTGCTGTTTTGACCTGAAAATGTTTCGCCAGAAAATTTTTCCCCAGCAGTTCATGTGAGGCCCCTATTCCACCCTTTGAGGTGGGTGGTTTTGAACCCACCTGGATGGAACAGCAGAAGGGTGGCTAAGCTGAGAGCAATCCTGCCATTTGAATGCATAACTATTGTTTGCACTGATGACCTTTCAGAAATTCATTAGTTTTTGGCAGTTGAAAACGAGTGGAGTTTATTTGCCTCGCTCAGGAAATTCAACCCATGCTGTTGAAAATTCAGTGTTACTCCAGAGAAAGAGCTGATCAGAGGCTCTGTGGTTGGGCAGGAAGGTTATCCCTGGGATGGGGACTGGCAGTGGAGAAGGAGGGTGCAAATCTCTATCTCCTGTGATCTCCCATATGACATCTGGCCATGTTTTTTCTTTTGAGCTTCATTTCCCCTTCACCACAGTTTCTTGCAAAGCCCTACAGTACAAGAAGAGCTGGGCAGTGCTTTGCTGTCATGGTGATGTGGTCTAAACAAACCAGGAGGATTTTGCCAGTGTTTCAAAACTCACTTCTCATCGAGAATGAAATAGCAGAGGAACTTGCAGATTTGTTTTGCACAGATCCTTGCCCAGTTAGTCATGCTGGCTTTGCATATCTGCTGGGCTTTTGGAAATCTTATCATGTTTTATAAATTTCAGTGTTAAATATCCCAGTGTAGGGTGTTGCACTAGATAACTTGTGTCTAAAGCAGATAAGCATTTCACCTGGAAGAAGTAGGTTTTTTTCTGTGCAAGGTAGGTTTTTCTGGAAGGAAAAAATAACTCTCCTCCAAAACTACTCGAGTTTTTGTGGAAGGGAGGGAAAAATATTAATATAGTTAAAACCTTCACCAAGCATCTGAAACTATTTAGAGACCAAGAGGGAATTAAATGTTTCAATAAAGGATAAAGGAAAGCCAGTAACCAGCTTTCAAATATCCTGATTTCTGGATATGGCTCTGCTGTGTACTTCTGAAGGAAAGGAGACTTTGGATCTGTTTGCATTTAATAAATGTCATATCCTTACGTGAGAATGGGAGCCAGATCTTGGCATTGCATTCCCACGTCTTGCCCTCTTCCTGTCTCTGACCTCTTCTCCTTACAGTCTCTGCTCCAGATGGCTTTTTCTTTTCCCCCAAAACATCTCCAAAATATTTCAAGTTCTTATTTATTATTTTAAATGAACAATATGTCAGATATAACAGAGCTATATAGTATTTTCATACTGTATCTTGTCCACTTATGGGCCATGAATACAAGTTCTTTAACTGTGATATTGCCCAAAACAAGCAGGATTTGGAGGTCCATTCCCATCCCTGCTAAGGGTTAGAAAAGTCATCAAAGGACAAATTCTCAGAATTGGCTTTTTGTTTGTTTGTTTGTTTGTGGTGGTTTTTTCTGGTTTTTTGGAGCACTTCATGTGGTCATCTAATGTTCTGGTTATCTAATGTTTACTGGAAAATGTCACTAGTTCACCAATTAAAAATAAAAGTTAGGCAAAAAAAATGGAGGTAGTTCCAGCTGGGATTCCCTGCATTTTGACTTCTTTCATTTATTTATTTTGGGTTAATAATTTTAAAATTAATTTCCAGCCTTTGAAAAACGCCCATGTTCTAAAGCATAAACTTACCTCTCATGGGGGGGAGGATGTGGGGAATATAAAAGTGGGGATTGTAGATGTAGGGGATGTAGAAAATGGCTTGTGAATACAATGAGGGTGAGGAGTAAGGGGTTTCTTGGCAGCAGCACAACTAAAACTTATGGAAAGTTTCTATCAACACAGTGCTGATCTTTCTAAAGATCAGCTGTTCTGGCAGACAAGGGGCATGAGATAAGAAGGTGGGTAGAGATGAGAACTGAAATCTGGAGCAGGAGAAGAGAATAAATTTGAGGAGAGTCATCCAGGTTGCAGAGGTTTGAGCACGGTCTGCAGGGGATTTCTAGGGCACATTTATCATCTCACAGCTCCTCAGCGAGAGGAAAACCAGGGTTAAAGACCTGAATAGCCTGTGAGGTTTATCATTCCCTGAGTCTGGTTGCTGAGGCTTCTTCCAGTGTTCTGTGGAAACCCTATGGCTGAGAAGGACCTCAGGCAACAGTTTGATCCACCTTTCTATGTGAAAGAAGGTGAGATATATTGTCCTTCTCTGCACATCTGCTCCTAAAAAATCCCAGTGATGGAGGTCCCTCTGTGGATCCCATTCTGGAATACATCCACCCTGGGCTTGGAAGGCTGTTCTATTTAGAAGTCTCCAACGTTTTTTTTCATCAAATTAAGCCAGCTTTGGTTTTTTCCTTTACCTAGTCACTGTGATAAGCTGTCGACAGCCATCCCTCTTGCAATAATGTCTTACAAATGGCATTTTGCAATATTCCAGTTTTCTTTTTTTTTTTCTATAGGTGTTAAGACATGTGCTTTATGTATCATCTTTAGTAAAGCTGCACTAAGGTAGGATTCTTTCACCATTTCTTCATATGTTGTGTTTACAACCTCTAAACTGCCAAGCTCAGGAAGAGGGGACTAACGCTGCAGAGCTGAAGGGAAGCTGGTGGGACTGGATCCCTGATATCCAGGAGGGGATGAAAATACGTGGCTTAAAGTACCTCACATTGATCTCAGACATCAGGATTGCTGCTGAGAATGAAATTGTTAATGTTTTGTGGCATCACCTACCGCTGGTTGCCACAGGAATATTGTGGGTTGCTCAGGCGTGAGGTGAGGGCCAGGAGAACACAGTGACTAAGTTTTCTGGAATAAATCAAGCACTGGCTTTTTGAAGCGTGTAAATTTTCAAAGCACAACAAAACAGGGATCTCCATTCTCTAAACACAGCAGGTACCTTCTGTGTCTGCAGATTTTCTGACTCTTAAACTGGAAAGAGGAAATCTTGGAGAACCTCACTGTTGATGACTCATATTTAAGATAAAACATGCGTTTTTTAATAGCAAGAATAATTAGTCATCAGTGTAGGCTAGCCAAGGCTGTAGTAAATGTTTTGGCCCCCTGGGACTGGAAGAGCTCTTTCTGCTCCTTTTCAGTTTCAAATTATTGAGTTCTGTAGGATCACTGTAAGGAATCTAGGACCTGCATTTTCTATTTCAGATTACACAAGACAGTCTCTTCAGACCACTAACCCACAACTATCCATTGAATTAAAAGCAAATCAGGCAAATGATTGATATGCCAATACTATGAATATTTTCTTTTGCAACTTACATTGTTTCACATAGTGCTGGACACTTCCCTTCCTTACTAACATTAATTTAAGGCCAAAATAAGATGTGCTGTATGTTTTCTTAGTGCAAGAAAAGAGTGCCCTTCCTCTACAGCATATCTGTAGAAATCACCCCCAGGCCTTGGAGATTCCTATGAGGAAGAGCCCCCTTCCCACCAAAGCGTTAGAGGGTCTGCTAACCACATTTTTTTACCCAAATGAACATTCTTATTATGCAATAAGATTGCATACTTGCACTCTTTTCCTTGCTTCCTTGTAACTTTTGGACCTACTGACCAGTTTGTGCCCAGTTTTCACAGAAAGGAAGCAGTCACTGTGATACCAGCTCCTTCTCTTCCTGCAGCTTGCTGGCACCCGAGCAGAGGAACAAGGCTCTGGTGTTGCTCTCTGTCACTGCTGAGTGAGCTCCACATTCTGTAGACACCCAAGAGTCCACATGAAGATGTTAAGGGCAGCCCAGCCAGCACTGCTGGAGACTGCACTTGGTGAGGTGATGCTTCCCACTGCTTTCCAGAGGGAGATCCTGGCCTTGGCTGTGCTTTCTGGCCAGGGCAGCCAAGCTGGCAGGCGGGGATGAGTCAAGAACTGCTCTGTGTGCAGCAGCAGCTCCAGCTCTGTGCCAGCCGCAGCCCCCAGTGCTTCTCCTTCCTCCCATGTTGTGGTTAGCACAGCATCACCCCAGCCTGACCACAGCCTGTGCAACGTTCCCTCCTCCAGAGCAAAGCCTTAACGTGCTGCTCCTGGTGGCTCTTCCTTGCTCCTCTTTAGGACAAATAGCTCTGAAACAGCAGATTTTTAAAAGGAGGTTTTATTGCCAAATCTCAAAGCTCTTTACAAGCAGGAGACAAAGTGCTGCCTTTCCACGGGCTGCAGCAGCTGCTTTTCAGATCGTCATCCACACTTGCTCGCTTGCAAACTCACTTCCTTCCTGTCGCAGACCTGTACCCTGGTGGCACAGCCCGAAACACACTCACACCCCAGCACTCCATGCCCAGAGGGCTTTCAGGCACCAAAAAAAAAAAAACAAAAACAAAAAAACCACCCCCAAATAAACCCCCAGCCTTAGTGCAGCCAGGAATTAGATGCAAGTTTAAATGTAAGTTTAAAGGAAGATTAAAAAAAAAGTGCATGGTGGCTGGCAGGATGCTCGCTGAAGATGCGAGTTGCTGTAGAAGACTGAATGTTTTAAGATGAAACTGTTAAACCTATTAGAAAATATAGTTAAAACCAAGAGTCTCAGAAGGAGGGTTACTGGGTGCTACAGAGATTCCACTTAAGTTATACCTATTTACAAGACATAATACAAATCTAGTATGTTCTGTTAGTACAGCATATACAGTAATTAGCTGTAGCTTGTAAAATGATTTAACTTGCCCATTTCCTAACAGATAGAGGGTATTTATCTGTTAGGATTCCTACTGATGGGTATTCAGTAAAATGTCAGACATTTATTCATTAGAATATTCAGTATAATATAAAAATATACAGTAAATATAAGCACATCCTCTAGATTTGGCTGTAACAGATAGGGATGTCTGGATATTTTCATCAGCACTTTGCCAGATGAGTATCCACAGTACACACTGCCACAAGAAAACACTTGTGAGAGCAAAAAGCATTTGTATATAAATTAGGGGACTGAGCTACCCCATAAGCTGTTGGCATTCTCCTGGATTTCAGTTCCAGCCTTTGATTTGCCAACCCTGGGGTTTAGGACTGGCTTCAGCTTTGGGATATGAACCTGTACCCGGAGTTTGCCCTGGTTTGTGTATATTCCTGTTAGTGTGAACTGGGTTTTTTCCCATCTAATCTTCTTACAGAACTGCATCTTGCAAAAGCCTGCCCGCTCTCTGGAGCTGATGTCCCTCGACTTCCAGTGCACACCAGGTTCTGACAGCTCACATTCATACCACACAGTGTTCGGTAAACAAAAGTGCACATGCAGAAAAATACATTTAGATAGCAGATAGGCACTGAATTATTGTCTGTGTTCTTAGCCCTTGTCCTAAGTGTGTCTGGAAAAGTGAATATGACCCACAGTTCACATTGACTCTACAGCAGCAAATGACACAGATCCAGAGCTTGCTCCAGGCTGTGTGCCTGGGGGTGGGCTTAGGACATAGGAAACTTTTTTGTCTCAAAGTAAAGCTTTTTGGCACCTGAGCCCTGAGTGCTTGACTATGTAGAATTTTCCACTAGATAGAATAACAAGTGAATTCCCATGTGACATCTCTGCCTGTCTTGAGAGGGGGACAGACCACTAAAACCAAGGCTGTTTTAATCAAAAGAGACAGAAGCATCAGTTGTAGTCACTACCTGTCTTACTGGCTCTAGGTGGTGAAAAGTATGATGTTTGGAAGCCCAAAGCCAACATTTCTGTGCTCAGACCTGAAGTGCCCACTGCCCAGCCTAAGAGGAGGCTCAGATGAAGCTTTACAGCTGCTGTGGGGGTGTTTGCAGCCCACTGCAGCCTTGTGGGACCTGGGAAATTAGAAGAAGAAGAAATGGATGAACTAAGAGGGAAGTGCTGGCAAATGAGAGAAAAGAGTTTAGGTAGCGTGTCACTCCTTAGAACCAGACTGGGAAGGTCAGCCTTTTCTTTGCTTTCAGTCTGGTTCAAGCAAAGGAGAAGCCCTTTGGGCTCTCACATTCTCCTAAGAGCAACTCTAGAGAATAGAGGAGGGGACCCAGCTCAGGTACAGGGCTCTATAGCAGTAGTGCAAAGACATGATTTTGTCACTGCTGTAATCAATAAAGACCACAGGAACTGTGGTTGCTTTCAGCAGGTGGACAGGGAAGCTGTGGGAATTGTACTGAAGCCTTCTGCAATTCCTTCCTCAGACCCTTCTGCAGCGATGCATTTGAATGTACTTCAGCAACAGGGACCAGCCCCGAAGTTGTGCATGCACAATGCCTTTTCCTCCATGTCTGCCAGTTACAGAGGTCTGGGCCAAACCCTGGCTCTCAGGCTGGCCAGGACACTGCAGGTAGAGACGTGTTCCATGGGAAGAGGGATCTCATCCAGACCCGCTGCCTGATGTGCCTGCTCCTGTCAGTTACTTTCCAAGACAACACTAAGGGAACGCACATCCCCAAAGCTTCCTAGTCACAGCTCTCCTGGGGATCTCCCAGAGTCAAGTTCTTCAAATGGCTGGCTAATTGTTCCCAACAACGCTGAGGGGATTCAGAGTTACCAGATGGGTATGGTCCTCAAAAATAAACGTGTTGTGCTGCTAGAAGACACCTTCACAGGCCAAGTGTAACCTCAATTTCCCTATTAATTTAAGAGGAACAATCAATACCTGCCTGGTAATGATGCCTTGAGACTTGTGTTCACGCAGGCAGTCCTTAGCAGACCTAAAACTCTGCAGGACCAGACTCAGAGTGCCTTCATACAGCTGCTCCAGATCAGGGACACTACTTGGAGCCAGGAATTGGCCAGTTTGGTTTGCCTCTGTGTGAGGTCACTTTTTGACTGTGGATGTGGTTTTGAGAGTGTCTTTGGAGAAGATTAAACCGTTTATCTTTACATTCCTAAATGTCACTGGGCCAGGTGGTCTGGGAAACCTTGCCAGCAAGTGAACAAACACTGTCTACATTTATCCTTACATGATTTAACTGGGCAAACCAGATAGGTGCCAGTGTAATCTGGTATCTGCTTGTCTGTAAATACAGAGAGACAGGGGCTTTTGCTAGAATAGCCTTTCTGCTCCTTTCAAAAAATCTGGCTTGGTTGGATTACCAGTAATTTTTAAGGCCTGATCCATTGAAAGGACTTTGGACAGAGTCCTGGAAGAGCATTCACATTTTTGAAACTGTTCACTGTCCTGTAACCTTCTGCTGTGCTAAGAGGATTAGAATCAGACTGGTATGTACAACATGAAGAAAGAAAGATGCTATAACTGAAAGCTCAATTCTGCCCCACAAACATGGTGTGTGCACAGCGAAAGACCACCTTTAAACACTGGCCTAGCAATGGTACAAATCATAAATGGCAAATGTTTAGCTTTGATTTTGAGAAAGAAGTCTCTGCAGAGTATGTCAAGGAGCACTTCTCCTATAAAGAGTCACTAGATCCTTTTGCTTTTCTTTCTGTTTCTGTGTTGCTTCTTTTTTCAGTTCTCCAAGACCTTTAATTTCTTGCAAAACTTGTGTAGCTTGACGAAGTTGTTCTACCGCCTCATTGAGCAACGTCTCTGCCATCACTGGGGGTCCGTTCCCCTCCTGAGCCTGCTCCAACCCTTCACGTAAAACCTTCTGCAGAAGTTTTTCTGCCTTTTCCCTTTCATTAGCAACTTTCTCCTCCATTTTAGCTAAGCATTGATGGGAATCCTTCAGGAAACCTTGGCCTGCAAGTGCTCTCTGTTTATTTTTGGAATCAGACAGCAAGTCTCCCAGAGAAGAACTGCGAAGCTTGAGACCTGAAGTGCATTCTGTAGAATCTTTCTTCTCAATAGTTGCTTTTACACTTTCGTGGTCTGCTTCTGTAGCTAAGGAAGTCTCTGTCTCTTCTGCTGAAGTTTGCTGTTCCTTCTCAGCAGCAGTTCTCCCATTTCCTTCTTCTGTTTCAGTTGCTGGGGATGTGAACTCTGCTCCCTCGCTGGCAGAGATCCCGTTCACCGGGGGCTTGGAGCTGCCAGACTCCAGCTCTTCCCCAGCTTCCAGGTCACCATGGCTGGAGTTCACTGTGGCAAGCATTTTCTCTGACAGAACCTTAGGAGGAACAGGAGGCTTTGCAACATCTGCAGCAGCAATCTCAGCCAGGTTGTCTTTGCTGTCATCTCCTGATGATTCCAAGTCTTCTGCCTTTTTAGGCTCAATGGTTGGTTGGTCCCAAGCTACTTTTAGCTTGTCTGATACATTCTTAGGAAGTGGAACTGGAGGTTTTGCTATAACCCTGTTGCTGACCTCAATGAGGTTCTCCTTGTTTTCCTCACTTGGTGCTTGGGATCCTTCTGCACTCTTCTCTGGGCTTAGAGAGTCCTCATCCTTGACATTTACATTGTCCTTTGATGTGACGCCTTCTTTAAGCTTCTTATCTGGAGGCATTGGAGGAGACAGAGCTTTTTTATGTTCCTGGTCAGGAACACTGTTGTCTGCATCTTGATTTTCTCTTGTGCCAGTGGGTTTTAGAGGTGGCATAGGTGGCTTTGGAGTTTCTTTCTGAGGTGGCTCATTGTCACTTTCGCTGACAGTGGAATCAAAGGTCGGCGGTCCGTTGTCTACTATATCCAGATCCAGTCGCAGGATTCCATCGGATGTACACTTGGCAGCCTGAAGTACAAGAGAGAAAGCTTTCAATATCTATCCCATCATCAGTCCTGTGCTCCACCCTTTAAGTTAAAGTGCAAAGCCCTCACAACCAGCATGGCAAGTGAGGCGTTGCTGCTTCAAGCTGAGAGAGTTGAAAAGAGAAGGCTTTGGGGAGACCTTAGAGCCCCCTCCAGTGCCTAAGGGGAGCTTCCAAGAGAGCTGGAGAGGGACTTTTCACAAGGGCATGTAGTGATAGGACAAGGGGGAATGGCTTTAAGCTTATTAGGATTAGATATTAGGAAGAAATTCTTTACTATAAGGGTAGTGAGGCCCTGGCACAGGTTGCCCAGAGAGGCTGTGGCCTCCCCATCCCTGGAAGTGTCCAAGGCCAGGCTGGATGGGGCTCTGAGTAACCTGGTCTAGTGGAAGGTTCCCTGCCATGGCAGGGGAATGAGATGAATTTTAAGGTCCCTTCCCACACAAACCAGCCCTTGATTATATGAAAAGCAGAGAACTTATTTTACTACTTCCTTTGAGAACAATGTCTCAAAGCCTGTTCCACCACAACCGTATTTCTTGGTTTTCCTGAGGGTGCTAATGTTAAGATCTGCCATATTTTTATCACTTGTCCTGTGGTGGCTGTATCCCTCTGCCCCTTTCATTTACAACATGCCTACCCAAAGGCTCACCTACTTTCTGCTTTTGAGACTGTCATATTTTTTACTTGAACAGATAAACCAAGTTGATCTTTAGATTGCATGGCCAGGGATACTATTGTAATCCTGTTGCCTTCTGCTTGCTTCCTCCAACCTGATGTCATCCCCATCTTACCAGGGCCAAGCCTCAGCTGGTTAAACCTCCTTCAGACCACAGGCTGTGTGCAAATAGCTCTAGTAGGGAGGTTTTCCTAAAAAGGATGGACTTAACAAAGACATTGCAGTGTGTAAGCTCAGTGCCCCAGAGGGAGAAACGCGGTGACAGTTCCTGTGTGAGGGAACCCAAAACCACACAAAGGCATAGCTGCAGCCAGGGCCAGGCTCCTGCAGTGCAGGGAATTTAGTTAAAGTCTCTCTTTGCATTTCCAGCCCATCAGAGAGAGAGAGACAAGCTGCATCCTGGCCCTGACCTGTCCTCACCTGGCCTGCTTCAACACTGAAAATCATCTTTCATCCCATTTCCTTCACGGATCTGCAGCCAGCAGTTTTGATACACATCTTTCTGCAGGCTCTATTCCCTCCCTTTGCCCTCATTCCTGCTTCTGAATTTGAAAGCCAGTTTCCCTTGATTTTGGCTGAAGGTGAGAGGTCTTACAGGTATTAACCTTGGAGATATCTTGTGAAAATAGTGATATAAGCAGAGGAGAGAGATGCCTTTAGTGCCTAGGGAAGGGCTTCCCACCTTACCCAACCCATATTAGGCAACAGAGAATCCACACTTCACTGTTGCTGTGACTTTTGTCATGTTTTCTTCTGCAGTTTTATGGAGGAGTGGATGAGAATCTATGATTCATTCCCATGCATTTCTCTGGAAGAGACACTCTCCCTCCATTTCTATGCAAAGTAAAAAGTCTCAAGGCATCTCATTTTCTGCACAAGGGTCATCTGAGTGCTGTGCAGGCACATAAGTCAGAGTTTTGGAAGTTTGAAGAGAGAAGGTTTGATTTAAAAACCTTCCTTGGTTGAGATTAATGCTCTGTTCAATTATCAATCTGTCTGTGGAAACTTTTTCATAAATCACAGGAATCAAACATTAGTAAGAACCTCTCCCATGGAAATGAACTGTAGGTTTATTTTGTGATTTTGCCTTTTTTTTTTAAGTGACAGATCCAGAAAATCAGTTAAGAGTAGACAGGCTAGTCCATAAAACTGCCTGGGAGAATAATGTATTGTGTTTCAGACCTCAGGAAGGGCTTGTAAGCTTGAAAGCTGGTCTGCTTTCTCCAGTTAGCTTAATAAAAATACAGCTTCTCCCCACAGACTGTGCAGTTCTTGTACCTTTAGACCACTGTGGCTACAAAACTGTCATGTCTTAGAAAATAAATACAGGAGCTTCAGTCTCTTCTGATGAAAATGAAACTATAATGGTTCTCAACAGATGGTGAAGCAGCTTATGAGTTATGGAAAGCTAAATATATGGCAAATATAAGATACAGATCTATGGGAACCTGGAGCTTCGTTAGAGAGGTGCTGGCACAGTCTTTCCCAGAGGAAGTTGTTTCTCTCATCAGCTTTCTCTGGGCTGCACCTGGGGTTTTCCCTAGGGTTTTCCCTGGGGTTTTCTACCTAAGTGGAAGGAGCAGCTCTTGGTGATCCCAGCTGGTGGGATGGCTCACTGCAGGAGGCTGCACTTACCTCCTTTAGGTGACTTCTTGTGGGTGGTCTGCGCCCATGGGACACCTTCACCCTGTCCCGAGTTACATGGTCCAAGGAAAGGCTCTCATCTACTTTCACCTTTATCAGGAAAAGAAAAAAGCAAGAGGGTCATTTATTTCTCAAGATATGTCTATATTTACTGTCACACATGAAGGGATGTGGGTGAATCACCACTAGTCTCTGCCTCAGAGCTGTTATAGCCTGCCTGCAAAGCCCTGCATGTACATGATGGATATTTAAGGTCTCACAGGTTTGCAATGGCTGGGCTCCCCTCCACCTAAGGGGCAGGGAAGGAAGGACACAAGGAGCTTTGTTGTCCTCTCTGCTTGGACTGGGTCCTGCATGTGGCAGAGCACAGCACCAAAACTGCTGTTGCCATCTTAGAGGTGAAAGCTCATTAATAACCATGACCTGACGGTGAACTGTATCAGCAGTGCTTTGTTACAGCCCTTCCCTTCCACAGCTCTAATGACTGCAGGATGCTGAGGAGAAGGTGTGAGCAGTGACCTGGATTAATTGCAGCTCCAGCTGAATTAACAAATTTATTTCCTGGAATCAGATGAGAAATCTGCTGCCTCACACACGTAGAAGGGAGGTCCCAGCGCCCTGACAGGTAGCTCTCTGTGACCACCCACCCACCCACACTGCAATGGCCAAGGGCTGGAATCTGCTCCATGCAGAGGGACTCCAGTGGCTGTGGATGGTGAAACATCTGCACGTTCGTGGTACCACAGGTTTGTACGATAGGAAAGCTGGCAAGGGTGAAACAGGAATTTAAAGGGAAAAATGGGTCCCAACCTCTGGCTGATATGGCAGAGTGGTTTTACAGCTCTTTTAGCACAGAACAGCTAATCCAAGCCAGCTGAGGGCTTGACTCATTAGCCTGTGCCTGGTCTGTGTAGAAACACTTTAAATCTGATCCTTACTGGAATGAATGAGAATTAGAGGCTGTATCCCTCTGTAAGGAGGATAACCCCAAGTCACCGGGCAGGAAGGTGACCTGAGATCCCACCTTGCTGTGCTGCTGAGGGGTGTGCAGAGTTCACTTCCCCCTGTACCCACCTGTTTTTGCCCTTTGCTGAACAAAAGCAAAGCCCAAGCTCTCAGAGTTCACACCTCTAGCATTGTATGTACAGCACTTAACCCTTTTCTCAAAACTTTTACTCATTGCTTTGGTTTCCTTTGCTAAACAGATGTTGCTGATCGTTTTGCCCCTCCTTACCCTGTTTGTTTTATTCTTGTGTCATTCCCGTGGTTTTGGTTTTGTGCACTTCCTTTCAGTTACTGAAACAACTGCGGAAGAGATGCTGCCCCTTTGGTTTAAGCTCAGGGCTGATTCACAAGCTAACAGGGAGCAGGGCAAGGTTGAACAGGCTCTAGGATGTGGAGTCTTCATCCCTCCCTCTGTGCAGCAGGATGGGAGGAGAATTAAGGAGTGCAGGTGTGCTGGGGCCAGCTGAGAGACAGGCAGGTCTGGTTGGGGCCATGGAGTAACTTTCCACCAGACTTGTCTCTAGACTGCAGGCAGAATAGTTGGTGGACTGAGTCACTTCAGATTTTTCCAGTCTTGAAGACTGGGCTATGTCCTAACCAAATACCTCCATTTCCAGGCTGCTTGGTGCTGAGGATCATGGCAGCATGGGGAAGATGTGTCTCTCCAGGCTGCATTCCAGCTCTACACAACTCAGCATTGCAGCTGCTTCTCTGCACCAGCTGCTTCCATTGGGAGAGGGGAACTCCCATGAATTCTCTGATCCCAAACCCACTGAAGCCCCCAAACCACCTCCCACCAACTTTAGTGAGCTCTTGTGTCGATGGGCCTCTTGATGTCAGCTCTTAGCAGCACAGTCTATCCCTCTGGCACACCATCTATTCATCCAGCTGCTCCTGCCTCCCTGCATCTAACCCTGTCAGAACAGAGGGAAAGGCAGCAAAGTGTAGGAGGGTACAAATGGCTCTTTCACATGTTCTGCCTTCTTGAGCTGGGAATTGAAGAGGCTAAAAGCTCCCAGCCTGAAGGGAAGGAACTTGCCTGGCTTTGCACACTGTCTTTCTCTTCCCTTGGACCATGGCTAGAACACAGGGAGGACAGGGAGAATGAGGGTTCAGGCAAGTTCTGCTTTTAGCTAAAGGAGCTGTGGATGAGAACTGACACAGAAACACAGGAGTTTGAAAACTATTTCTCTTACCTCATCAAATATTTTGTTTTTGCCTCTGTTGATCCCCTCATTAAGAGCTTTTATCCATGATTCCTTTTCTTCCAAAGTTGGAGCTTGAAATTTGATATCATGAACCTGCAAGAGCAGAGAGACAATTTTTCCCTGAGCGTTCCTTGTCAGGACCAGAGGTAGCTCTGAATCACTTCAGTTTCTATATAACTTCCAGTTCCAGCCTGTGTTTAAACTACAGATTCCTTTGTGCTTTGGCATAGCTCCCATGAACAGGATTTTGTTATGCCGAACAGCCTGTTGCTGTAGTTTTATTTTGGTAACTAGTAACTAAAGTAGTAAGAAAGCAAATTTCTTCCTTCTGCAAAACACTTGGAATAGCTCTTAGAGCAGCAGTGAGTGGTACAGCAAATGTTTACACTGTGCACGGTCTCAGACTGAAAGTCCAAGTCACCTTGGGCTGGTTCAGATGGAATAAAATACTTTATCTCCCACTTCCCCCAGGCTGCAAGGAACAGAAAGAAAGGCTGCATGCAGTGGGCTCTGCCTGCTTCCCTGTTCCTGTGGCTCTGCAGAACAGAGCTGATATGGGAATCCAGGGCACTGACCTTGGCTGCACTAATCCTGGCTCAGCTGAGCACGGACACGATGAGGCACAAGGGCGATGTAAGTGAAAAAATTCACTGTATCTTTTTCTGTTTGCAAATGAAATCCAGCAGTGAACGCTACAGAAATGAGCTCTCCGGGGGGCTGAAGAGCTGTCCTAGGCAGAAGGGAAGAGCTGGCCATACAAAAGGAAGCTGGCAAGATGCATGGGTCACAAACAAGGAGGGAGGATGGATGATTGCATGGCCTGTCCTCCAGCCAGCCAGCTCTTCCCTTCTTCTAGGGCAGCCCCATGGCTTTGCTCAGTGTTTACAATCTCTTCTTGACCACAGCAGGGACAACAGGTAGGGTGTTATTTACTTCACTGCTGTTTTCTCTGAGCACCTCACCAGAATTGTGTAGCTTTGTCCCAGAGTGCACTTCAGGTGAGGGAAATATCATCTTCACATTACAGGTGACTCCATGGCAGACCAGCTGGAATCCAAACAGCTCCATGTGGTGCTCCACACTGCCCAGGCACACAGGAATACTCCCGTGCTAAAGAACATCAGCAACGTTGCAAAATCAAGCCCTTAAAAATGAGACACTCCCAGTGTTTCTGGGGCTGTAGGGATTGTCAGCCTGCTGTGTGTGTTCCTCCCAGCACCATCCCTAATGACAGGATGGCACTTCTTCCTGAGTTATCCCATTGTGTGTTTTATCCTCATGGGTCAATATATCTTACTGATTGCACTCTGCTCCGGCCCTGCCCTGAGAACAGGATTCCTGATTCCCCCATCAGTCTTTTTCCTTTCCTGCTTATCACTAAAATATCTGGGGGCTTCACAAGTTCCTTTTCAGAGCAACTGAAATAATCCACCTCTTACAGGTGTGGAATTGAGATACAGAGAGGCTCATTCAAAACATACTGGTAGGGTCTTGTTTGGAATAGTTTTTTTTCAGGTATTTAACATCCTATAGGTATTCTTAACCTTCCCACTGCCTTCTACAGCAGTTGTAGTCTCAGTCTTTTTGTCAGTAAGGCCCCACATTCTGAAATCATGGCAGTGTCTATATAAAACAGGGACTATATTAAATGAGAGGGACAAAGCTAATGGTGACTGACAGTCGAAGGCTCTTAGCAGCTCCTTGTTCATGGCACAACAAAGCACCAACTGTTCTGGGTCTCAGCAGCTTCTGAAGGGACCATCAGAAATTCTGCAGAACTAAAGCCTGATCTCCTTACAGCCACTCCTGCTGTTAGAAACCAACTGTTCTTCCTTATGTATTTATTCCTCGTGTTAATGCCATGGATTTACATCTGCATAGCCACAAAGTGCCAGACCCTCCCAAAAGGACAAGCAGGGAGTTAAGGAGCAATCTGAGGAAAGATTATTTATTTGACGAGTTTGCATAGAAGGTAACAGGACCACATCCCTTCCTGAGAGTTCAGAGGAGAGTATAGGGCTTGACCCACAGCCCTCTGGAAAAAGAGCCCTTTGTCTGGGGTGCAGAAGGGCCACTCCAACCAGGGAACTTAAGGGAAGGCAAGGCTCCAAAATGGAGTGACGGCCAGATTTTGTTTTAGTTCGAGCTGGCCTGGTTTTGTGTGTGCTTAAAAACTTTTTTTGTTTGGAAACGATTTTGCCCCAAAGCTTTGTGATTATAAAAGCTTATGAGAAAGCTCTACTTGTGAGCAGCTGAGCTGCTGCACTGCCTGGCAAAGACCTGGCAGCCTGCACCAGGGTTTACAAAATCTCCGTACATGTTGTTTAAGGGAAGGATTCCTGCCTCTCTTCAAGCTTCCTCTTCCAATGCCACTTTCTGTGCCTCATTCCAAATAAAGCCTCCCAGACTGTGACTAAGCGCTGGTGTCAGCAACTCTGTGGCAGGGCAGAGAGAACCTCGGGAGGGGGTGGCTCATCGTTAATGAGAAGCTGAGATGTCCCTCTGGCATGCAACCCTTTGCCATCAAATGCAAATCCAATGGATAGTGAGACAAGGCAGGAAGGAGCCGGGGGAGCTGGTCTCAGTCGTGCCTGTAACTGGGGCTCTGTGCACTACTCTGAGACCCCTAGGTTCCTTACAAACAAGGAATAAATGAATTTATATTGCCTTTTCTCATTTGAGTATTTACAAATATCAGCAGATGCGCCTGAAGACGGATATTTCCCACAAAATGTTAAGCTGGGTCTGTTCTCCAGCAGGAATTTAAAGCAGAGAGTCAGTGACACCAATATAAGAGGGCAGCAGGCAGGGTAACACATTTACACTCCTTCTTGCTAAGCCAGCTGAGACTGAGTCATGCCATAAACAACAGGCTGGTGTGCCAGGAAAAGCTGTCATGGCCAAACCTAGTGACCATTGTAAGCCCTGAATACAGGCTACGCAATTTACTGTCAGTTGCTCAGAGCACAGCACGACCAGTCAGCTCCTGCTGAATCACTGCCGAGATGTCACGAAACAAGAGCTCCCACACGGATCACTGTCCGTGACGGCAGCGGGCACAGGCTCCCTGACTGCTCCTTGTCTTCCTCAAGACATCAGTCTCCTCAAGCACTGACAGTCTGATGGCTGTGCTGAGCCTGCTTTCCAGGAAAGAGAAGTGTTCCCAGGGTCAGGCTGTTGTACTTGCACTGAATGATTTAACAGACAAGCTCTGGAGAACTGTGTAGCTGCAGTTTAGGACCTTTACCAGCACTTGCTCTTTGCTGAGCAATTCTGCTGATCTGCAGCAGAGATGGGTGACAGAAACCTGTGCTTGCTCCTCACCTGTTCCAGTGCAAAGCCTGGTGTTGGGGCTGAGCTAAGCTGGACTGTGAACTGCTTGTGAACTGCTGTGGGGATGCTGACTGCTGACTTTTGCTACAGGGTGGTCACCTCCAGCAGAAGCTGACCAGAGCTGGGTCAGTAATGACTTAAGCCACCAAGAGTGCAAGAGAGTCTCTCTCCCAAATGTAAGGTCATTTCCTGCCTTCTTCTACATGAATTCATCTGGTTAGATGATGGAGGGAAAAGTGGAAGCCAAGGGACTCCCTGCCCATGGCAGGGGAGTTGGAACTAGGTGATCTTTAAGGTCCCTTCCAACTCAAACCATTCCATGATTCTGTGAGATGACTGTCAGAGTATTCTGGTGGTTTTCTGCAGCTGAACCAAGAGCTGCCTCATCCCTGGGAATAACACAGCATCTCTGCCAGACTGGCAGACCCCAGGAGCAGACCTCTCCATGCCTCACTGCATTCTACTGCAGCTTCCAGGCTGGGCACCTGGTGAAGGCAGTTCCAGGTACCTAACAAAGGGAAAAGTAAGCAATGGAAGTTTGCACCCCTGACTGCAGGTGTCTGGCCGTGCTAGGGAGGAGCTGCAGGGCTCACTGGTGGACTCTTTCCCTTACTATCACCACCCTCTTCCCAATGTTAAGACTTCCCTGCAGCTGAAGGCTTTCAGACCCAGTGAATACCAGACTTGTGCCAATCTCTTGTGCCAGTCTCCAGGCACTTTACACCAAGCATCATTTACACTGCTTTTTGCATGGTGAGTACGTTTTAAAGTCCCCAGGCCAAGGCTGGTGCCCTTTCTTAGAAGGCCAGCTCTCTGCATCCAGCAGTTTTCATTTAATTGCTATGGGCAGAATGAGGCATTTGAGATTTCTAAGCAGAACAGGGCTTTTGCACACTGCCAGCTTCCCTCCTTGAAGAATCGAAGCTCAGGGGGCAATGCTTTCTTTCAGTTCCATACCAGTGCAGGCGTGTGACATGCTCATATTGTCACAGCTTGACACAAATGTCATCCTTGTGAACAGGGCAAGCAGAATCTGGGGTACATCCATCAAAGGCCAGCGTTTAGCAGGACAGTTTATTTAGTCAGGTGAAACTTTAGCAGCCGAGTAGTTTTAACTGACATTCATCTCTGCTCTTCAAGAATATCCCATCCAAGATTTAAACTGGGCTCCCTGTATTCAAGAGGGAGACTCTTACTGTGCACTGAAACAGAAATGGCCTTTCCTAGCTTGTTCCTAAGTCCCAAAAACTCACTGGATTTCTACCTTCCTCAGTATTATACTCAGGAGATGGAGAGGAAAAAAAAAACCAACAACCTAGCAAGATGTGGTGGCTCACAGGGTGATTTTAAACTGTGGATGGCAGCAAGCCTCCCAAATGGAAAATGTTTAGCTGATATATATCGCCACAGCTGCGATTTCAAAACAGAAGAAGGACAGTTGTGTACGTTGGCCTCCTAATTGAAGCCTGTACTAACATCTGCCAAAGTATGTTGTGTGTCAACACCCTCACCAGATTCCCAGCCAAAAGGAGGGTGGGAGGGGAGCTACAAACAGGGAACTTTTCATTTATAAAAGCCCTTCCTTTCACCAAAAGAGCCTTATAAAAAGTAGCTTCTATCTAGGTCTCCATTGAATCAGTGGCATGAAAAACAGGGGAGCTGTAAACTTGCCAGCATGCCAAAGGGATGAAGTTACCCTTTCGAGCACAATTTGGGCATATTTTTCCCATAGCAAGAAATAAAAGGTTTAGGAACAGTCTCACACCCTGTGTTGATTCATGGAGCAGTACAGAGACATATGCAGCTATTACACACTTCTCTCTCAGTGACATACTTGCAGATAATACTAATTCCTACCATGCTGCCCATCTCTGAACACACAGGGTTTTATTGGCCTTCCTACGAATAGGAGTGCACTTGGAATTACAGAATCCTGGAATGATTTGGGTTGGAAGGGACCTTAAAGACATCTAGTTCCAGCCCTTCTTCCATAGGCAAGGATACCTTCCACCAACCCTGTCCAACATGGCCTTGGACACTTCCAGGGATGGGGTAGCCACAGTTTCTCTGGGCAACCTGTGCCAGGGCCTCCCCACTTTCACAGGGAAGGATTTTTCTGTGATGTGCTCTGGGCTCTGGTTCTGCACCAGAGCTCACCAACCCAGGGTGTGGATTTCCAACCTTCCATCACTTTGGTGCATGGTGCTTAGTATCACTTCTCTCCCTGATACAGACTATGGCTACTTGCAAAACAAACATTGTTCACCTTCTCTCTCCATCCCCACCCTGGTCCATGGGAGTGTTTTGGGGCAGGACAGTCCTTGTTTTGTTGTTTTGAATGAAGTTGAGCACAATGATGCCCTTAACTCAGCTGGGGTCTTATTATATGAATAAACACTAAGTGACTGAAGTGAAAGAATAAGCAACAATGACAACAAGGACTAAACAATCCATTTATTTAAAAAAAATGGAGATGGGGGAATGCAGCAAGTCAGTATTTTTGCCTGCTCGTGTTCTTATGGAAATGAATGTGTTTTGTCCCTCACAACCTCTCAGATTTGCAGGGGGAGGTTTAGTAAGATTTCTTAGGGCAATAAAATCACACTGAAATTAGAAATAAGTCAAAGTGTGATGCCCCAAAGCAACAATGAAGCATCCTAGACCATAACAATGCTGAAATGGATAGCATGTAAGTAGGAACTAAAGAGAACTTCCAAAGATGTGTAGCGATGATGAACCTGGATAGGAAGCAAAGCAGGGTGTCCTTGCATACAGACAGTGCTCATGTGGATGTACAATCTCTTTAAAATACCAGCCTTGGTTTTAGGTTCAGGATCTAACCAGATGCTGTGCAGGAAGCTAAAGAGGTGGAGTTTCATGAATTCTGCAAAATAAATCTTTTTTCCTAGGAACTGTTCGGCTGCAAGTAACTTTGCACTGGAATTTCTCAGATCACCAGTTCCAACTGCAGGAACTGTCTCACTACATGGATTGGGATTATTGATTTCACTGGAAATTGGGCAAAGCTGCAGCACCTACAGCTGGGACAGGGACACATCCTCACCCAGAGCACATGGGGGAACCACAGGGAACGGTCATTCTCCACTGCACAGGGAGTACTGGAAGAAAGACAGTGACAAGGCAGGAAAAACACCAAGAGGAAAAAGTTGAGCCATGGCAAGACCCCTTTCCCCATGACAAGAACAAAGTCTGCATGACAGTGTTGTTCCTCCTTATACACTCCCAGCTGCCAAGGACCTAAATCTCAGAGCCCTTCTGCTCTGGGCACAGCTGCCTGGGAACTCATTTTGGAGTTAGCAGACTGGAGGGTGATGAGAAAGGCAATCCTACCTTCTTACCCGGGGAGCGGATTAAAATGAAACGGTTTTTCCTTTTTAGTAGTGCACGCAGCTCCTGGCACTTGTCATAACTCTCCAGTTCCACTGTTTCTATGCACTTCTGTTCATCCTGCAGAGGGAATGAAACATCATTATGAATAGGAGGCACTGAAATCAATCATATACCATCAAACTCTGCACGTCTTCCCCTTGCATCTATCTAAAAGCTCTTCTGCCTTAAAAATAACCTGCATGCAGACAGCAAACCCCATAAATCAGGCTGGCACCTCACTAAGAAAACACCCTGGTCTTTAAGTTACAGTCCTAGTGGTCCACAGTGGCTGAGCAAATAACAGGTTATGGATAGTAACACCAGCTTCTGCCATAGCTGTTGGCCTCATCCAGGGATCTGCAGCCAGAAGTGACACTACTTCCTCCCCACAATGAAAGGAGGAGACGTGATCCTGCTTCTTCACAGGAAGAAGACACAAGCATCACCATGGTCCAAGCAGCCCCCCAGGAAGCCCAAGGCAGAGCAGGGATAAGAGGGGAGCCCGACTGCCACGCTGAGCTGGGGCGGCCGCTCCTCATGTCAAAGAGGTCAGTGGGAGCCACGTGCGATGGACAGAGTCCTCTCACAGCCACACTCCGAGCTGTCAAAACGCTTAGGGTTGGAAATACGGTCCCATAGAGCCAGCAGAACTGTCTGGGCCAGTGTCTCAGCAGGGAATATTTATCTCTGGAGTATCTCCACTGATGACTGCAGGCCACGATCTTGGCTCATTTTTCCCAGTAACATAACTAAGATTCCACACGTGGTGCGTGGCTCGGTTCAGCTGCAGAGCACCATCCCTAATAGGAATCGCAGCGTAACGCTGGGCAGATAATATTCTTCATGTCTCAGTAGCCCAGCAGAGACCAGAGCTCCCTTTAGCTAAGCACAAATGAGCAGTGAGAATCTCCGAGCAGCTCTTGCTGGTGAAGTGCTACAGTCAGCACGGCCCATGAACCTCTCTGGTACCATCCCAAATTAAAACTGCTGGCCATAACCAGTCCCAGCTCAGGCTCTGCTCCCAAGGCAGTTCCTTGCACCCGTATGACTTTGTATTTAGCAATTCCTGTAGTGGAGAGGGGGTGTGGGATGAGGAAACATGTCGTAGCCAGGAAGCTGCTGCGTGGCTGGAGGCAGGGAATGGAGAGTTCAGAGGGAAGTGGGCTGCGGGGAATTTCCTCCTTTTACCACTTGACATTTAAGTTGCTGTGCAGAGCCCAGGCTGTGTTTCAGTTTTCTTAACCCTCCTACCTGGGGATGGGGGCCCGGCAGAGCCGATGCCGATACACAGAGCAAGGTCTGAGCCACCGAGGGATGTCTGGATCTAATTTAGGTTTATTATTTTAATGACATTACTGTTTATGTCATTTAACACTGAGTAGGTGAATGTGAACTGGGAAAATGCATACTAGGAGGAGGAGATTAATCCTGCCCAAACCTAAAACCCAGCCGATAAAATCCTGCTGACGCTACTGAGCCCTTTGAAGGCTCCTGCTGCAATCCTGGTATCGCAATGTCACTGCAAAAGGACAGGGATGGAAATAATAACCCCTCAGCGGCCCACAAATGACAGAGAAGGGTGAGGTCAGGAATACATGCCTCGGGGATGGGTGATCTCATCCTGGCCTTGGGTGGATGACCGCCCACGTTCCAGCCCTGCCGCGCGGCCGGTGCAGCTCCAGCTCCTTCGCTGGGCTCAGGATGTGGAGGGCTTGGCAGCGCTCCGACCGGAGACCAGCACCACGGCTCCTGCCCACCCTCCCCGCTCTCAAGAGCAGCACTGTCCCCAGCAGAGCCCAGTGGCTCCCTGTCACCCTCCTTGTCCATGCCATCCTTCCTGCCTCTTGGAACTTTTCCTCTGATCTCGTACAAGCTGTCCTCCACTTCCTAAGGACTGTGGAGCTCCGAGCTGGGGAGCAAGGAGGACTTGGCAGGGTGGAGAGCTGTGGTTTCACTATGAAATTGGCTCTTGCCTTCCAGCTGCCCTTCTTCTCCCTGGGGAGGCCTTGAAGACTGTGGCCTGACCAGGGAACAAGGGCAGAGAGGACGGGGATATGCAGGACCCTGTCTCCCAGGGACACCGGTTTGAGTGTGCAAGCTATGGCTCCTTCCTCTCAGGGACCTGAACTTCTCAAGTGAGTTATCCTCTTCAGGGAGGGTGGGGAAGAAAGCAGCCAGAGAAATATAAAAACTCCAAGTCTGAGGCAAAGGCAAAGCACCTGAGTTCAGGGAGCACCAGAATAGGGCTTTTGTCTCTGTTTTACCCTTGGCAAGCAGCCATCCCCTCTCCGTGAGCCTACCTGGGTCACAAAGAGATCCTTTATGTCTGTCCTGCACCACCAAGATGAAGAATGAAGAATGAAATACCCAACCCTGTTGCAGGTCTCCAAGTCCTTTCAACCTCCTGGGATGTGCACGACACTCAGCATCACACAGAGGTCACTTCCAGAGTCCTGCCCCAGTCTACAGGTGTCAGACACAGGCTCTGGACAAGCTCAGTCCTGGTACAGGAACCCCTACATTCCTGATTTAATGCAGAAAGACTATTCCATTAGCTATTCATGAAGCAGATCCTGTGACTTAAACATGTCTGTGTCTGTTGGCTTGGCCCTTAAGAAGAAAATTACTGAACACCTGGACACATTAATGCATGTGTTTAACCAAAGAATCACACTTGGCAAAGCTCCTTAATGAAAAGTTGATAAAAAGGGCGGAAAAAGACTCCTTGTAATTTTTATTTATATGAAGGTATAATGCTCAGCAAAGATCTCCTCACTGACACACACTCATGAGCTGGGACCCTCCATTCAGTGTAAAATGTCTAGATCTGAAATAATAATTTATTTCTGTACCTGAGGCTCTCAAAGTGTTTTAATAAATCACTTTTGGGTATACCTTGCTATCACTTTACCAGGGGCAAAATACAGATGATAACTGCCTGATTGTTGAATGCCAAGTGGATCCTTTGACCTCTAAAAGACTTTGTCTAGTAGGATTTTTCCCTGTCAAATAATACACTTACAAAAAACCCCTAAAACGGCAAGAAAACAACTCCAACCACTAGCTGCACTGTTTAGGGAAAAAAATCAAACCCAAGACTGATGCTTTCTAATCCATGGAGTGATGATATTGATCTGTTTAGTCTCTCTACATAGCACTGCCTGGTCTTCAGATGCTCTCTGTAGGTTTTTTTATTCTGGCAAGAATATGTAGAGACAAGAAGACACAAAATCCCATTAGAAAATAACCTTGGTTCTCTGTGGACCTGCACAGCAGTTTCTCAGGATCCCAGTATTTGCATCAGTGCCTCCTTTCCTGAGATTTGGATATGTAATTATTATACAAATATTTTGCTTAAATGAGTCTTCATTTCGGTGAGGGTACAGATGTAGGGTGCTGTAGATGGAGGCACAGAGACAAGAAGAAATCCATTTCCCTTCATTTCCCACCCGCTGAAAGAAACCTGAAGCCGGGTGGGATGACTTTCACCCCATCTGCTCCAGGGAACACAATAACCATTGGCCATTTGCCTTTAGGAGGTGGCTCTGCTTTAAACCAAACCCAAAGCCTGACTAACAGATACAACATGGGGAACACGCTCCCAGGGCAGGTCAGGAGCTCATTCCAGGAGATTGCTATTGATGATGATAAATACAGTATTTGTGTGCTGCTCAGACTGTACTCTCCAGTGACACAATACAACATTCCTTCCTGTATCTTGTGTTGCCCGCCCCCTCTACTCTTGTTTTGCACCTAAACCTCAGTTGCAAGTGCAGCCAGTGTCATGCAACTGCACCAACAGGGTGGCCTGCACAGGCAACAACTGCTAAAGGCAACATCAGCACCTCTTGGTGAAGGGCTGGACACGGGAGGGGCTGATAAAAGCACAGTGAGTCCAAGGCACTAGCAGTTCCTGGAAATCTGATGGGCTCAGACCAGCTGAAATACTCAGCCTCTAAACCTGCCCGCCCACATGGAAGCTGACCTCCCTCCCATTTAACCCATCTAGGTCTAATTTAGGATACATATGGAAATATGCCTGTATTTCTGTTGCCTGAGGTTTTATCTCCTCTCTTCTTCCAAGGCTCCAATTCAAGAACTGAACAACCACATTTTAAAATGTTTCAGCCTGAGGATGGTCTGGGATGCTGTGTCCTTCTCCAGGGTCACACAGAACAGGTATTTGGAGAAGATCCAGGGGGGAAATGGCACCTTGAGCTCCAAAAATACAAACCACCACAGCACACTGCACTGCAGACTCTCCTTACACGCTGGCCCTTCTCATCTCAAAAACTTAGTTCCCCAATTGTAAGATGGAGACAACCACACTGCCCTGACTCACGATAAAGGAAGATAAATACAGTAATAAACACGAACTGCCTCGATTCTGTGGCAACAAGACCCCTCCTGAGTGCAGAAAATTGCCATTTCCTTTGGTTCCCCTGTAGTAAGTCTGCACAATCACATGCTATCCTATTGTGCTACCAGATAATTTTGCAGCAATTTCCTCTCCCAAGACATCTGACTTCACTGTAAGCCAGTTTAATAGCCTATAGATATTAACATGATCCCTTATTTACAATAATGGGACCTTGCAGCTACTGTAGCTTACAGATGCAATTTATTACAGGATGTTACCACAATCCACAGGCTACCAGAAAACATTATGCCTGGTTGTTACAAATGCCATTTTCCTTGTTTAGATAATAAAATAACCTTTTAAATGATTGGGATTTTTCCTTCTTCTGATTGTCTGTGAAAATTAATCTGACTTTAAAAGCCTCCTTTTCCCTTGTGGTAATGAGAGCCCCCATGTATCTTGTTTTTAAAGGCATGCCCTTTCCAAAAAACCTACGTCATATTCATAGATTTTGAATCTGCAAGTTCCTGAAGCTTCAGCAGGAGTCAACAAGTGTCCAGAGCACTGGTAAATGGTCTGCAGAGAGTCAACAGTTTGCAGGACTAGGCTGCATCCCTCTGTGTATGAGAACCCCTCCCGCTTTTCCTGCTGTCTGAGCTGTTCATCACCTGACATCGACTTCTCCTGTCATTATTCTTGCACTCTCCATGACATTTCATAGCTAAGAACAAACGCCTCCGGAAAGCTTTGGGATTTGGGAAGAGCAGGAGGGTTCAGCATAAGGGAGGAGGTAATACCCTTTCACCTAATCTGTTTATAACAAAATCTTCTTTATTAGGCAATAGTATGTTTTTAAGAAAAGAGAACCGAACTCACTGCTGGTCCCGTTGTTCCTGAAATCATCACAGCAATGCAGCTGCTGAGACATTTCCCCATTCTTCTTCCCTCGACACGCTGCACAAGATGCACTACATGATTTTGCTTTTATATCATCCCGGTGCCCACACATGACCCAGACCCCCTTGGGTCACACACCACACAGGCACGTGGTCCTTGTGCAGACCATGCTGCCCCATCCTGCTGCACACACAAACTTCGAGCCACCCCATACCAGCAGGGCTCAGACTTATTCACCCCTCACCTCAAACCTCTGTCGGTTGAAGCTTGTGCTCTGCACTGAAATTTCTGATTTTTGGGGCAAACTCTGCTCTTGCAGAAGCTGCTTCCAGCCCAGGAACTGAGGGCCTCACTCAGGAAAGAGCCACCTCTGCAGCCCGGCAGGACCAGCCCTGCACTTTTCATTCCTCTTGCCTGAAAACGCAGCACAGATTTCACTTGGCTCTTATTTCTCATTTGTCTGGAAACAGCTCTAATCGCAGCCATGAACTCAAGGCATGCAGTTTATCTGGGGAAGTCCAGGACAAGGCTCCCAGGGGTCCATTGCTCAGAACTGGCTCAAGTAAAGGGAAAAGATGAGCCAAATCCAGACTGTGTCCCTGCTTAAGGAGGACAGCAAACACAATATCTTCCTGCATCTATCAGTGGCTAAAAGAAACCCTGAAGAGTCTGGTTAGCAACAATTTGAGCTGCTTGAGGGGTGCCAAACAGCTGCAGGGTTGCCTGCCATCCCCTCAAGCAGCAGGTGGGAAGTCAGCCTGCTACAATCCACTTTTATCCTTCAAAAGCCAAAACCACATTGCACATATCCTGCTTCCGCCCGAAGCTTTACTCCGTTCACCTTCTCACAGGATGTCCTGCCCCCCTCTTTTTTTTTTTTTCTTTGGCAATGGCACTGTCAAAATATTTACTGGCTAAAATATTTATGATATATAATATACTCAAAAACACAGCTGCTGTCTCTTTTTTACAGCATTTACCCTTCCTGGAGTAAACTGAAGAAGCCCTTTTGAAAGGAATGGGCTGCAGGGAAGAGTGAAAAACACAGGGACACACATGTTTCCCCAAGGGCCTGATCCTGCCCCTCACTGAAGGCTGTTAGCTGTGACCATACCTCGTCCTCGTAGACCACGAGCTGTGTTTTCCGTAGCTGGATGTAACGATCCTTCCACAATCCCAGGAGACCCCCACTGCTTTTCTTAATCCAGCCATATTTCTCTGCAGTTGGAGCAGACTTGGGTTTCTCTGACACCTCCTCCTTTGTATCCTGCAAGGAGAGAAGGGAGAGGGAATTATATTCAAAGCACTTTTCATGATGAGAAAGCCTTCCCAGAGAAGATCTCAGCACCCACCAAACGTGGTCCCTCCCTACCACATCACAAGGGAAAAGACTGGCATCTTCCAGAGGAAAACTCAGCCAGCTCCCACAGGACTGGAGAGTGGGAACAGACCCCAGCCACCCCTGGGGACACTGTTGGGATGGCAGCAAGTCCACCTTGGACTCCCTCCTCTGTGCAGGTACTCCCTGCTCACTTGTGCACCAAGTGCACCTTGTGCACCTTGAAAATGAGCACCCTCCTCTCCTCTTTGCTTCTCCACCTCTCTGATGAATCCCAGCAGCATGGATCCTGCTGGCATCAGTAGCAACACTCATATTTTAGCTCAAGGCCACTTCTGCAAGTTTCTCTTCTGGGTCTACATTTGGTCATCGTGCCCAAAACAACTCCCATGGGCAAATCCACAGCATGAGGGCCAGGACTTCATCCCATATGCACTAAAATGTTCCTGGCAGGCTCCTGCGTGGGAAGGACTGGCAGAGAAGGCAGCAGCAAGAGTGGGGGTGGTTTTTTTGTCCTCCCTTTAGCTCCTTGCTGTTTGTCACAGCCTGCTCTTGCCTGCCTGCAGCAGCACGGAGAGCTCCACTGTCCTGTGCTGGGATGCTGCTGGCTTTCCAGGTCTGGTAAAAACCAGGAGATGCAGAATTTCCCTGCATTGAAGAAACCATCAGAAAAATCCAGTATCAACATTCTCGTCAAACAGAGAAACCTAAGACAGGGAGAAGGTGCAGTTGGGTTTATTAGCTGATGCCTTCACCAGCAGACTAGTTAAAAGATGAGAGCTTTTCTCCTCTCCAGTGTGCTGGAAGAGCCTTTGCAGAGGCAGGATCCCCATATCCCCTCCCTTGGAGCCCCCTGCTTCTTCCAACATCCCATGGACCTCTCAATAAGCCTCTTTCCCTCAGCAAGGTGAGGGGAATCCCTCACTGAGCCAAATCCCCATACACAAACACCTTGCCAACCTTGTGACTTGTCAGGAGAGGCCAAGCCCAAATCCTCCAGCCTCCTCCCAGGAACCCCACTGTCCCCCAGACTCAGTTTCCTCCATGTTTTCACCTCTAATAGCAGCAATCCTGCTGCAGAAAGCCAGCACACAAAAAGAGGATGAGTGACAAAGGAGAGTCCCAGACATGCCAAAATGGCCCTCACTGCACAAGCTGGACTGGCTGGAGCTCAGACATCATGTTTGATAACACAAGGAAATCCTACACGAATGGAAAGGAGTTGGAGCTGGACACTCCCATGGCCAGGACAGAGAGAGTAGAGACAGATGAGCTCCAAAAATTCGGAGGAGAGCCTTGCTGATGAATCTGTTTCCATGTACCAGACTCCCAGTGAACACACCCTTGGACAGCAGCTACCATCGGGCTAAGCTGTTATTCCAAAGCGGGAGCTTGCACCCATAAAAATACGAAAACCAGCTTAAATACACCATGCACCCACATTTATTCTGATCCCTGCTAAGGTCAGGAAGAGGCTGGGCTTTGCAGGTAGGCTCAGGTGCAGACTGGGAACAAGAAACTCAAACAAACCCTGTTTCACCTAAAAGAAAACCAGCCCAAGACCTGTAACATCCTTGCTGCGTTTTGCAGAAGTTATTTCGATTGTACTGAGCCGCGTCTGAAACGGCCACAATACAGGATGACTGAGCACCAAAAAGTTTTCCGGGAAGCGAGGGGGGACTGTGTGGCGTGGGGTTTTTTTTAAAACTTGACTTTTTAGGTTGCCAGGAAGTTGTATTCAGTTGAGATCTGCGACTTCAGCAAACATCAATTCCTGCACAAATATAGACCTGCTGGTTTCCTGATCGAGCACCCTTTTGATGTCATTTTTAGATAATTGGGCATGGACTTTAACCTCCCTTGTAGCAGTTTTGAATGGATGTAGCTGTATGAAGAGTTTATTTCAGTGAGTCCAGACCAACAATCAACAAAATGCTTTTACTCTTTAAGGCTTTTCTTGCTTGGCAGATAAATTTTTGCTGTTCTTTGCCCTACCTGGCAGAAAGGCTGAAATCACATGGTAAATATGTCTATCCATGCTCTGCTCTGCAGAGTGAAAACTGCTCTGGTCTTAAAATAAAAGTACTCCTGTGAAGATACTGCACATACCATCTACCTCTGAAAAGCAACCCATCCCAGTAGAGCTGGGGTTCATGCTGACACCTCTGCATGAGGCTGAGCTGGTCTGGGGTCTGGCTCACCAGCTCTCCAGCCTTCCAGGGACAACACCTCCCCTCCATGGCATGGAAGGGTGGCCTTGGAGCTCACCCTCTCCCCAGGCCACTCCAGAGCCCTGGCTGGAGCCACTTGTCTAAATGGAGCTGTGCGTGGGGCTCCCCCGACACCGGACAGGACTTCCCGCTGTGCCAGGACCTGGGAGCATCCACATGGAGGATCCCTGACTTCAAGCCCCACCTGAGCAGCCCAGGGGAGGGAAGGTGAGATGGGATGCAGAGTGCTGGTCTCAGCAGATGACAGGGCATCTGCTGAGAAGCAAAGGGATCTGTCCCTGTCACTGTGCAGGAGTCACCTGAGCCTGAGCTGCCTCCTCCAGTCCCCCCTGTCAGGCAGAAGTGAGGGGTGTGATCCTGCACTCCAGGTGGCTGCTGAGCTGCCGGGCTCTGGGTCAGCAGCTTTCCACTCACACACCCAGCACATCCCCAGAGGGGGGGGCAGGTGCTGTAATCCGTCATCTGCATCTTAAGGATGTAAAAAAATTGTGGATGCAACTTGGCTACTTGTTCCTGTGAAAGCAAGAAGAGTCCTGGAGACGGTTGCCTGACATTTTTTGCAGATTATTTTTATGCCACTCCTACCCTGAACCAGCAAGGGGAGGTTGGCTCCACCAGGATCAGGACATTGAGTCCATCCTGCCCTCTCTGCTTGCAATTCCACAACTAAAACAGAAGCATGGCACAAAGACATCAGTTGCTGTTGTTAACTCAGCTATATGTGAGCATTCTGCAAGAAACACTAACATATCCTTCCTGGGATGTTCTTGGGCTGGATTCATTCCTGACGCTGCAGTAAACCCACGAGAAGAACCCCCCTGACATCGGCCAAGCAAGCCAGAGTAAATGAAGGAAGAACTGAGTTATCCCAGTGCTGGATCATGCCAAAGGCATTGCTCCTAAAACCAATCCATAACCAAGCCATTTTTGCATCTTATATCACGGTGGCATTAGAAGTGAAACACAAGTTCCACTCTTCCAGCTTGGTTTAGCCTCACATTTCGCAGCTCAGCAGAGATCCCAAATCAGGGGGACAGGATGGGTTTTTATTTAACAATCAGGCAGTTCTTTCTCCCCTCCCTGCCCTGTATTTTACAGGCCCACAAACCCACATAACTCTTCATGTCTTCCAACAAAAAAAACCCCAAGAGTTGGACCACGGTGGTACTTCTGAAGTTACACACAGTGCACAGAAGTGCCTTAGTCAGTTACAGCAACTTCATTAAAGCAAGCACCTCATCACACAGTCCTCTCTAGCAAGGAGCAAATGAACATCCCCTGGGAGACAACCCGCATCCCCACACCTCCACTCTTTTCCTCCCTTTCCATTTTATCTTCCAAACCTGGCTCTTAGTACTTCCACTTCTCCCCGGCTCACAGGAGCAAAACTGTCTCACTAGAAATGAACTGCTCAGATCCACGTGGAACTTGGGGAACTGCATCTGACACCCCCTTCCGCAAGTGCTCCCTGGAGGATCCACGTACTGGTAATGAAGAGCGGCCGGTGAGACTCTCGGTCGATGCTGGGGTGGGTGGGAAGCCCCTTTGGCCGGTGGCCACCAGCTGGAAGCAGTTCCTCTGCCATGGATTAATTTCATGGATGCCAGCGGATAATAACAGCTCTCAGCCACTACCAACCTGGGCTGCTTTGTCGTCTCCCTGCTGTTTTAAAAGAGCTTTCATTCTTGCCACAGAATGTTTGGAGCTGAAATAAGGGGGTGTGAGGGGGAGAGACAACCCACAGCTACCGGGATCGCATGTGCCAGAGCCTCAAGTCCTTGGGCAGTCTGTACTACCAGGAGTGAGCTTTGTGCATGACCAGCAAAACCTCACTCAAGGAAAGGAAGCAGGAATAATTGCGTGGCCAGACGAGGGGAGAAAACGACCTGTTTAACTTGCTAACCAATTTGTTGCATCTTAATCAATCCGCACAGGGATGGATCACTGGGGCGTCATCCGATGGATGTGAAAAACTACGTGTGCAGGAGAAGCGCTGCTGCCCTTCTCCGAGTTAACCCCGTCCCAAAGAGAGGAGAAGAACAGAAGTGGGGAAGGCTGGAGGTGCGTAGACATGTCCAAGCCGGCTGTCTGACCCAGGCCCGGCTCCAGCAGGGCAGGACAACACCCCAGCGGGAATCACACGGGATGGCCCGAGCACGCGTGGAATCAGTGCCCGCCGAGCCCGGCAGCCCCTCCCCGGCCGGCCCGGTCCAACATCCCGAGGGCTGAGGGGATGCGCTGCCGAGGCTCTGCCCGAGCCGCTCCGGGGGCTGCTGGGCATGGGGACGCCCCTCCCCACGGTCTCTATCGCTGTCCCCCGGGCGGAGCGGGGCCGGGATGTCCCAGCGCCGGCGGACACCCGAAAACACCCCGAAGTGGCCGGTGCGGTCCCTCCGCCCGCCCTGGGGGTCCCCCATCCCCGAACTGCCCCGGGGGGTCCCCCAGCCCCGTCCCAGGGACACTCCCCTCCCGTCCCGCTCCCGGCCGGACTCACTTGCTCCATGGCTCCTCGCCGCCCGCTCAGGGGCTCGGCCGCCGCCCCGCTGCCCCGCTGGGCTCCGGGCGGACGGTCATGCCGGGGGGTGCCGGGCCGGGCCCCGCCGCTCTCGCCTCCGCAACAACTTCTCGGGGAGCCGGAGCCGCGGCAGCAGCAGCACCGCCGGGTTTCCGGCGGCTCCGGCGCTGCCAGCGAGGAGGCGGAGATGCCCCCGCCGCCGGCCCCGGCCCCGCCGCCGCCGCCTGGCCCGGCCCCCCCGCCTGGCCCGGCCCCGGCCCCCCCCGCCGCGGGCGTGGGGCTGGGAGCCCCCGGGACAGGCTG